CATCCAGGCTGGAGTGCAGTGGTGGGATCATAGTTCAATGCAGCCTGGAACTCCTGGGCTCAAGTGATCCTCCTGCCTCAGCCTCCCAAAGTGCTAGGATTACAGGCATGAGCCACCATGCCCTGCCCTTACTTAATATTTTCTAACTCTTAAAATATCTGTCCTTTTCATTTAACATTGGAGTCCTCAAGTTCAGTCCTTGGGCCTCTCCTGTTTTTGCTTTATACTCCTTCCTGGGTCCTCTCATCCTTCATCCATGTGCTGATGAAACTCTAGCTTACATCTCTCACCGGCACCTGTCTCTCAACTCCAGACCTGTATGTTCAATTATCTACCTAGTATTTCCTCTTGGACATCTTATAGGCAACTTTAACTTCCTATGTGCTAGTCATGCATGGTGAGGGCGCCTGTAGTACCATCTACTGGGAAGGCTGAGGCAGGAGAATTGCTTGAGCCTAGGAGTTCATGACCAGCCTGGGCAATATGGCAAGACCATGTCTCTTAAACACAAAGCAAAACAACTTCCTATCTACAAACCAAATTCCTAATCTTTCTCCCCAAACCTGCCATTTGCTGGAATCTTTCTTATCTTAGTCAATGATGACTTCAGTTTGTCAGGCCACAATCTTTGGAGTTGTCCTCACCTCCACTTGTCACACAAACTCAAGACCCAATGTGTCAGGTGGCTCACGCTGGCTGTACCTTCAAGGCATGTCCAAAATCCAACGTCTTCCCACCATCGCCTCTGCCACTCCTGGTCCCAGCCCCTCTCCCGGCTCTCCTTGTCCCTGACAGTCCCTTCTCATCCAGCAGCCTGAGAGCACCGTGAGCCTGAGTCAGGCGACACTCCTGCTCAGCTCCGTTCCAGCAGTCCCTGGGCTCATGCAGAATCGACACCATCTTTACTGTTACATACATTCATTTTTGCCATTTTTCCTTTTGTCTATACCTTGCTTCCCCCTTGCTGACTTTTTCCTAGATTCACTGGGTTCCTTGCTGTTTCTCAACATGTAGATAGGCCCTTGCTAGTCTATTTGCTTGGAACGCTTAGACACCCACAGGACTTGTTCCCTTGCTTCCTTTGAAGTCTTTGCTCAAATGTGTCCCTCATGAGGCCTTCCCTGAACCCATGCCCTGCTTTTTTCTCCTCCGTGACACTCCCTCATCCTTGAACATGTTACATCATTTAGTTATTTCAAAAGTTGCACTAAAACATCAGCTCCATAAGGGAGTGATTTGTGTTTATGTGCTCATTGATGTATCCCCAACTACTCCAGCCCTCACGTGTAGGCCTCACAAATATTTATAAATATTTGTTGAATAAGTGAATTAATGCAATTCTTCCTACACAACTGCCCTTATTTAGATGGAAAAGTCTTACTGTCTGAGAAGAAAGGGTAAATCCATGGTGGCTTAAAAACGTTCCCTTTGTTTTCCCCCGACACATCCAGATTTATTAAGGTATAATTGAGGCCGGCTGTGGTGGCTCACACCTGTAATCCTAGCACTCTGGGAGGCCGAGGTGGGAGGATTGCTCGAGCTCAGGAGTTTGAGACCAGCCTGAGCAAGAGCGAGACCCCATCTCTACTATAAATAGAAAGAAATTAGCCAAACAAGTAAAAATAGAAAAAAATTAGGCGGGCACGGTGGTGCGTGCCTGTAGTCCCAGCTACTTGGGAGGCTGAGGCGTGAGGATCGCTTGAGCCCAGGAGTTTGAGGTTGCTGTGAGCTAGGCTGATGCCACAGCACTCTAGCCCAGGCAAGAGAGTAAGACTCTCTCTCAAAAAAAGTATAATTGACAAATAAAAAATTATATGTATTTATGGCATACAATGTGATGGTTTTATACATGTACTCAGGTGAAATGATTACCCCAATCAAGCTAATTAACATATCCATCACCTCACATACTTATTCATTTTTTTTCTTGGTGAGAACACTTAAGGTCTACTCTCCTAGCAATTTATAAGTGTGCAATACAATTACTAACTATATAGTCACTAAGCTGTCTGATAGGTCTCTAGAATGTATTCTTCCTGCCTGACTGAAACTTTGTACCCTGGAGACTTTGTATTCGGTGGTGTTGTTTTTGAAGTTCTTTCCTATGGTAGGGTGAAACTTTTCTGTATGTTAAATATGTGTGGCATGGGTACTCTCCCTCTTTTGTTATGTGCTCTTCCATCCTCCTCCATTCAATACACCCCTTGGTACACAGAAGACATTCAACTGATACGGCCTGCAGGGAGCCAGATCGAGCTGATCAGCTTCATTTCCTTCCCCAGAACAGAGCAAAGTCACTCATTTTAGTGGGTTGCCCTTGTGTCCTTTCTTGCCTGGCAGTCTTTCTTTGCATTTTATTTTATTATTTTTTATCTCAAGACTATGGTTATAGGGATAAAAGGAAAAGAAAACTGATATATATATATTTTTTGTTCAATAAAATCCTCCCTGCTGTTCATATTCATCCTCTGGGTTATTTTCAGACTGAATAATTTGAAGGTGCTTCCTTGGAATATGAGGCAGGAATTCGCTCTGCACTCTCAAAATTTACAGAGACTAGAGCTCGATAGCAGCCAGGCTTTCTCTATATTCCTAGGGAGAAATAGCTCAGAAGAATTTTTTTTTTTACCCAGTGGTTCCCAAATCAGGTTTCCTGGTGGGCTTGGGAGGTACTGAAGTCTGGGGTTCAGTCTCAGGTCCCGCATGGCCACGTGGGCGCTGCAGTCTGAGGGGCCACTGCTGCAGAGACCTTCCCTGGGCTTCCTTGGCCTCCCCGAGGGACCAGCAATGGGCAGCCCTGAGCATCTCTCTTCACCCTCCGTGCCCACGGAGCCCACGAGAGCAGCAGCGAGGGGCGCCGCCCAAGGGCTGTGAGGGCACCAAGGGAGGACGGAGGACGCCCCCACCTGGCGAGCACTGTGGGGGAGCGATGGCGGCACCTTTGAGCTTTCATTAGGCAAAGACCATGGAAAGGCCTCTCTAGACAGCCATAACTCTATAAAATATGTGTGTGTGTACACATATATGTATGTGTATATATATATATATATGCATATATTTTTTTTTGAGACAAGATCTCCCTCTGTCACCCAGGCTAGAGCACAGTGGTGTCGTCTTAGCTCACTGCAATCTCCAACTCTTGGGATCAAGCGATCCTCCTGCCTCATCCTCCCCAGTAGCTGGTGTGCACGCACCCTAGCCTGGCTAATTTTTCTAATTTTTTTTTTTAGAGAAATAGGGCGTTTTACTCTTGCTCAGGCTGGTCTTGAACTCCTGGCCTCAAGTGATCCTCCTACCTTGGCCTCCCAAAGTGCTAAGATTACAAGTGTGAGCTGCCATCATGCCCAGCCTATAAAAATATTTTTAATGCAACTTACAATTTTCATATTTTGCCTGATCAGAAAGACATCTGAATTATAGAAATTTTTTAATTTGAGAAAAAAACCATTTTAAACATAAAGTAGTCGATCATTTAATAAGTCCTTACGTTAACAATGGGACTCAATGTTTATGGGATTAACTTAATGAACAGATCAAAATTATTTGAAATTATCAGGCACATGTATAAAATGATGTTTCAGTAGGGCATGATAGATAATCTACTTCTTAGCTACCTAAACGTTCCCTCTACAATTCTTCTAATGTCTTAATAAACAAAAAATAGCTAATAAGAGGACAAATTTCACCTCAGCCTTTTTAAAACTTCCAAATTACTGTGGTTCTTTTTTCTCCTTGCTTCTTAGCTTTTATTATTTATGTACACTTATATTTTTCTCCCTTCTCCTGATATTAATACATGCTGAAAGACTTTGGAGCCTGTTTCCTATGTCTCTCCCTCCTGGTCAGTGCTTACTCCTGTATACTGTATACCTCATGCTGAGTTAGTGAGCAAGGGTGTAATACTGTTATTTTATCCTGTGTCTGTGGTACTAAAGGCTTTTAAAAAAACATTATTATTATTATTATTATTGAGACAGAGTCTCATTCTGTTGCCCAGGCTAGAGTGCCATGGCATCAGTCTAGCTCACAGCAGCCTCAAACTCCTAGGCTCAGGTGATCCTCCTGCCTCAGCCTCCCGAGTAGCTGGGACTACAGACATGTGCCACCATGCCCAGCTAATTTTTTCTATATATTTTTAGTTGGCCAATTAATTTCTTTCTATTTTTAGTAGAGACGGGGGTCTCGCCCTTGCTCAGGCTGGTTTCGAACTCCTGACCTTGAGCGATCCTCCCGCCTTGGCCTCCGAGAGTGCTAGGATTACAGGTGTGAATCACCACGCCCAGCCTAAAAAAACTTGTTATTACAAAAATAACTTCTTTGCTCTGTTGTCTTATATAGGGCTGATGTTTGAAGGACAGGCTATATATAGAGTGTGGTGAAACCTCTGGTTCTGGGGATTGAGTCCTGATTCTGTCACTAGCTAGGGAAACTGGGGAAACGCAATCCCTTTGTGTGGCTACCTCCTAATCTATAAAACTGGGGAAATAATAGCACATGTTTAGATTTTGTGCGGATTAAATATGACTGCGTATAAAATGCTTAGGATATCATGAGCTTAATAAGCAGAGCTATAATTTCTTGAAGCTTTATGAACACTCAGAAGATGAGGGGGAAGAGGATCTTTTCGGACCTGGAGGTTGCAGCGAACGATCTTCTCAACTGTGTCAGAGCAAGGTTGTTTGCGTTCCCAATTGAGAATCTGTCCTTAGGCATCTTCTGACTTTCTATCGTGCATCCCCTTGCCTTCACCATCTGGTGTCTTGCATTACAGTTATTTTACAGGTAAAATATTTTACTAGGATGATAAACTCCTTGATGCTTTAAGCACATCTGTGCTGATCACTATTGCTCACACGTAGTCATACTAAGTTCATGAGTTGGATGAATCCATTCAATAATGCAGCTAAGGACTAGACCCCTGATCCTCTTAAAATCAAATTCCTTTCATGATTTCAATGTGTAGAAGCAGTATTTACCTTCGAATACATTTGTTTTTCTAGGATGCATATGACAGAAAAAAACAGGCCTCCTGGTACCCTTGTTTCTTCTCAAAGACTGACTTAGGCAGATTTGGATGTCCACATATTCATTCTGAATCTTACACTGTTATTGCAAATCCAGCGATGAATTTGGGGAACTGCTGAAAATATATGAAAACACTACCTTCTTCCCATCGTAGGACTGTGGAAGCGTTCATGTGCTCAACTGGGAAGAGCTAGAGCAGAGAAAGGGCTGTGGTTTCTGAAGGGAAAGAAATGCTGGCGGGGTGATTAGCTGTTGGGAAATGATGACATGGCTAGTTCTTATCTTCAGGGTGGCTGAAAAATTAGGGGAGGTCACAGTTTTGCAATAGCTAAGAGGGGTTTCCAAAGAGTTCTTATCATCTGTGAGGACTTGGGCAGCTGGGAAACATTCGGCCTGGGGAGTTTCTGTGATGTTTGGGGAGGGAAGTTGGAAGAGGATCAGTTGCTGGGAAGGCCTGGGAGGGAGGCTTTTCCATGGGAAGGGTGAGTCGGCTGGGAGGGAATGCTGCAGCTTGAAGGGTCAGCCTTCCCGCCCAGGGGGAATGGCAGGGTTGCAGCAGCTGGGAACACCCAGAGCAGGGGATTTTACGCAGGAACATAACCCAAGACTGAGGGGGGGGAAGTGCCACCAGCGTCGCTCAGCCTGCCTTGCAAAGCATCTATTTTCCACGTTAGCAACGAGTCCAGCCTTTCCTCTCTAGGCGCATTTACCTGCCATCCATCCAAGGGCTCTCCCTGATGTGTTCATTTCTCTCCTGGAACTTATGCATGTAAATTGCCATTTATCTCTTTCATAATAATCCTGCAGAACCAGTTGAGTTGGTTAAAAATATTAAAACATTTATAAATAGCCCCTGTGGAAGATGATGCCCATATTAAAAATAAATATTAGAGATGTAAATAATGTACAGCAGTAGTTTGTGATAGTGTTCCTGGAAAAGCTTTGTATAAACAGGGTCACTCGGATCACATTTAGATTTTACGATGAGTGTTATTTAATTAAAAAAGTGTACAATGTGTGATTAGCACTGTGCTAGGCTAAAGCAAATAGTTCTTTAGAATGCAAATGACCATGAGTTCTATTTAATATGATTTATAGGTTTGAATATTTTTAGTTATTATAATTTTGAAGTATAATGCAATTCATAAAAGTGAATAAAACAAATGTATGGTATGATTAATTATTATAAAGTGAACACCTATGAAATTATCACTCAGATCAAGAAAAGAACATTGGCTGGTCAAGGTGTCTCACTCCTGTAATCCCAGAGCTTTGAGAGGCCAAGGCAGGAGGATTGCTTAAGGCCAGGAGTTTGAGACCAGCCTGGGCAGCATAATGAGACCCTCTCTCTACAAAAAAAATTTTTTTTAAATTAATCAGAGTGGTGGTACATAGCCTATAGTCCTAGCTACTTGGGAGGCTGAGGCAAGAGGATCACTTGACCCCAGGAGTTTCAGGTTACAAGCTATGATCGTGACATTACATATCAGCCTGGGCCACAGAGCAAGATCCTGTCTCAAAAAATAAAATCAATACAATACAACACAATACAATAAAAGGAATAGAACATCGCCTGAACTTCATAAGCTCCCCATGACCTCTTTCCTTGCAGAACGGAACAATTATCCTCAATCACTCTGCCATTTAATACTGCTTAATTTTTTCTATTTCTCAACTTCATTTTTTCCATTTCTAAACTATCAACTTATATAGTTTATACTCTTTTGTGTGTGTCTTTTTTCACTCCTCATTTAGTTGGGAGATTCATTCTTGTTGTTGCTCATTTTCTTGATTGAATAATATAAATTCCCAAACTAACTAATCGACCTGTAATCCTAGCACTCTGGGAGGCCGAGGCGGGAGGATCGCTCAAGGTCAGGAATTCGAGACCAGCCTGAGCAAGAGCGAGACCCCCATCTCTACTAAAAATAGAAAGAAATTAATTGGCTAACTAAAAATATATAGAAAAAATTAGCTGGGAATTGTGGCACATGCCTGTAGTCCCAGCTACTTGGGAGGCTGAGGCAGGAGGATTGCTTGAGCCCAGAAGTTTGAGGTTGCTGTGAGCTAGGCTGATGCCATGGCACTCTAGCCTGGGCAACAGAGTGAGACTCTGTCTCAAAATAAAATAAAATAAAATAACCCCTAACTAATCCATTTTGCTGTTGTAGACACTTAGATGGCTTTCAGTTTTGAGGTCCTGTAAAATTGCTATGGCGCATCTTTGTACACACACAGAAACGCGTATGTTCACTCATAGAAATGCATGGGTACATACACAGACAGAGATGCATGTGTTCATGTATAGAAATGTACAGGTGCACACAGAGAAATGCATGTGTACACCATATGTCCCAGGTGGCACAGTTACAAGATGCAGACAGACTGGATCCTTGAGTCACCACTTGGAAGGGAGCTGCCTTAGAGAGCCACTTGGTTTGCTGTGGGTTTTGCATGACCAAAAAATTAACTCTTATGTTTCTAGACACGGATATTTTATTTATGACTGCAGCACAGTGTAACCTAATCTGACTAGTAAAAGCAATATAAACATTTTATTTTCAGAAACATTTTTTTACAATCAAAACTAATGATTGGTTTTCACATCTTAAAATTTCATGATGCCAATTGGAGCTCTTAATTTATTCATTCTAGTTACCAACAAGGTGATGGCAAGTGACAAGGAGACATCTGGAGTCGGGGAAACCAATATCAACACGTCAAACGACGTGCCCTGAGCCCTTACCATGATACTAGCTGATGTTTGTGATTACTGCCAAGGACCCAGTGGTAGCCCAGTTGGTGGTTTGGTGACATTTATAGGATTTTCTCATCTTCTCTAGTGGAAAATGTTGACTATTTTCCTTGTCATTTTTTTTTCCTAGGATGACATCCCCAGGGGATAAAAAGAGACCATCAGTTAGGAAATCAGAGCAACTCCAAGGTACAGGGATAAGGAAGGAGAGTTTTTCATGAGGTCAGGAGTTGCTGGGCAAAGTTCAGAGGGTAAGAGTTCAGAGGGAAACAGTGCCTAATCCCATCCAACGGAAGCCCTTGTGCAGGGTACCAGCTGGAGCTTGGAGAAAAGCCAGTAAGCTATACAGGGGTGGCTGCCAGCCATCTGTGAAAGGGGACCTTGAGGCACAGGATGTGGGAGCTGCAGCTTCTGTGGGCCCAGTGGCTGAACAAGGGCTGGGGGCTGCTCTGAGCCCGCAGGGAGATGCGGGAGGCAAGTGAGGACATGATGGAACCTCTGCACTGTCCATTATCGTGTTTGACAACATGACCCTCCGCTACTTCCCTTCAGGCTTCCCAATTCTGAGGGAGCACGTCTCATTGGACAATGCTAGCCCAGAACCCTACAGAGAAGGGAATTCTGAGAGCAGTCAAGCCATGTTGGCAATGGACACCCCACCTTAGAATCTGCAGTTTAAGAAAAGTAATTTTCTAACTAATGTCTTCTTATAGGACATTAGAAAACTGGAGCACTGCTGAAACGAGAGTAGGCCAGGCTCGGTGGCCCATGCCTGTAATCCTAGCAGTCTGGGAGGCCGAGGTGGGTGGATTGCTCAAGGTCAGGAGTTCGAAACCAGCCTGAACAAGAGCGAGACCCCATCTCTACTAAAAATAGAAAGAAAATCGGCCAACTAAAAGTACATAGAAAAATTTAGCCAGGCATGGTGGCGCATGCCTGCAGTCCCAGCTACTCGGGAGACTGAGGCAGAAGGATCGCTTGAGACCAGGAGTTTGAGGTTGCTGTGAGCTAGGCTGACACCACGGCACTCTAGCCAGGGCAACAGAGTGAGACTCTGCCTAAAAAAAAAAAAAAAAAAAAGAAAGAAACAAGATTAATGTGTCTAAGACAAAGGGTTATGGCTTAAAGAATGAACACACATGGGTATACAAAAGATCCAGAAACCATGCTCTTCTGCTTTGATTCTCTACTATTACTCAGTTATGGAAGATGGGTAAATAGTAAAAAGTTATAAATAGTAGGGGAAACAGCTTTATATTGAATTTGGTGATGGAAATGACATCCTGGCGAGGAATATATCAAGCAATTAAACATTTATTTTAGCATATTTCTTAAATATGTCAAAAGACACAAAAGCAGCTGTGTGTGGTGGCTCACACCTGTAATCCTAGCACTCTGGCAGGCCTAGGCAGGTTGATCGCTTTAGTTCAGGAGTTCCAGACCAGCCTGAGCAAGACTGAGACCCGTGTCTACCAAAAACAGAAAACATTAGCTGGGTGTGGTGGCATGCACTTGTCCCAGCTACTCGGGAGGTTGAGGCAGGAGGATCGCTTGAGCTCAGGAGTTTGAGGTTGTAGTGAGCTAGGATAACATCACTGCACTCTAGCCGGGGCAACAGAGTGAGACTCTGTCTCAAAAAAAAAAAAAAAATACAAAAAATGACAGTTACACAGTGGAAAGTCTATTAGACCATTTACCTTATTAGTAAAAAACTATAAATTCATTATAGTTAATTATTTGCTTGTGGGATGGGTCAAAGAAAAAATTCCTTAAAAATGTATTAATACAATGCTCGGTGTGAAGAGTTTGGTGAAGCAGGGATCCTGCCTTTTAGGACATGATGTGCAAGGGTGGGAGCCGTACATTAGTAGGTGATTTCACTAGCTAAGTGCTGTGATAGGGAAAAACACAAGTACAGCAACATAAGCTCTCGGAAGAGGCGATACCTAAGGAGAGACCTGTGTGATAAACAGGAACAAGTCAGGTAAGAGGAAGGAAGGGGTGCAGATTCATAGTTGTAGTTCAAGGAGAAGAGAGCTTATGATGGGCTGATCGCATTGTGGGTGCTGGAAGGCCTGGAGGAGGTGCGGGGGAGGGTCAGGAAGGGGGAACGTTCACAGCTGGGCTGGCCAGTCTCACAGGGACCAGATCTTAAGAACGGAAATTCTGCACACAGTCATGCTCCAGGGTTTCCCTAATTTACTAGACCCATGGCACAATGAAGACATTGCACAGTCTTGGTGGAAATCAAATGGGACTACACGAGGTGTAATTCATTTTTGTCTTAAAACAGAGCTAAGACATGACCTCATATTAATAGCTGAAAGAAGTAGTCAAATTTGACTCATGCAGGAGGCTGAGGCAGGAGAGTCACTTGAAACTAGGAGTTTGAGACCAGCCTGGCAACAGAAGGAGACTTCATCTCTTAAAGAATAAGAAAAATTAGCCAGATGTAGTGGTATGTGCATCTGTAGTTCCAGCTACTCGGGAGGCTGAGGCAGGCAGATAGTTGGAGCCCAGAGATTGGAGGCTGCCGTGAGCTATGATTGAGCCGCCGTATTCTAGTCTGGGCGACAGAAGGAGATCCCATCTCCAAAAACAAAAACAAACCAAAAAAGATTTATGCTGACTCATGCATTCTAAAAATATTTTATAAAAATAGCATTAAAAAAATACAAAACAGTCTATGTTTTATTCTTCCCTTCCACAAGTATTTATTGAGCATCTACTATCTGCTCTGCATAATTTTAAGTGTGAGATATAGGTATGAACACAAGAGAGTCCCTGATATCATGGAGCATGTAAGGGGAGACAGACAAACAAATAAATAAAAAATATATCATATGATTTAGGGCCACACACCTTGAATGAATTCTTGTGGCCCATGATCTGGGTGAGCATTCTGTCATTTCTCTACTTTTGGACTTGGATGAAACACTGAACTGCTTGGCATGGGGTCTGTTTTCCTATGTTGTCTGCAGAAGATTCTTATGAATAGGGCAAGAGTTAGTTCCAGGCATTTGAGTTAATGCTGCAGGGAGCTGAC